GAGACCACTTCAGATAATTGGGCGTTGCCGGTGCAGCCATATTCACCTCTCGGTTTATAACTTTCAGTCGGTTTTTGCTCTCAACATCAGCAAAAATCATCAGGGTGGAATTGACCTGCGGATATTCCTCGTCACTGTCCTCCTTGTCTTCGACTTTGTCCGACTCTTTTTCCTTATCCTTGTGCTGCTTTCCTTGGAACTGCTGTATCAGGAGTCGACACTGCCGAGTGGTATGCTTCGGGTAAATGAAGTTACCCTCCTCATCTTTCTTCATGTGGATGTGACACGGTAAATCCATCACGTCGTTTCCTTCTTTATCCTTTACTTTTTTGGGGTTCCAAGGCCCCTTGGGCTTTCCTTTGAACTTTCCTTGAGTCACGCCCAGGGCTTCTCCAGGAGCAGCTGGCTCGGCTTTCCGCTTTTGCTTCCGACTGGAGTTCCCTCCTCCGGTTTCCTGGGCGACTGACTTATGCTTGCCGCTCCGGAGCCGATCCTCTTCTTCACCATTGGCACATTTGGTGGCTATTTCCATCATTTGACTCAGAGACATGTCCCCGTTCGACCGAATTTCAGGCTTAGCTCTCTGTACTTTACGCCCTCCTTGAAGGCACAGACTGTCTGGTGATCAGATACATTCTCTACTGGAGGAATCACTGCGGCTCGAATGGCTCTGCTGAAACACTCTGGTCCGGAGACATGCACTCGGCTGCTGATGGGTACATCTCTGTCATTGCCCTCTCTGTGAGCTCTGTTCCGGTCGACCAGACCTTGAACGATGATGGATCTCGCATCAAAGCCTGGTTCTCTGGGGTCGACCGGGATCCTTCGTCCGCCATTGTGCTGGCGTCTATCATCCTGCTGTTGAGGCACATAAGATCCACCCCTTGGGGGAGGAGTGGGCACTCGACGTTAATCGTTGCGATCGAGTCGGTGATCATACTGCTCATAGTTCCTGTACTGATCATGCCGATCACCACGCCCTTCAAGCCTCGGGGGCGATCTGGGGCTATGAGCCGACTGGACCGTATTCGCTGCCACGGATCTGCTGTGAATCCTGTTCCGCGACTGCGATACAGCTGAATTCTGATCTCCTGCTGCTCGGAGCAAATCTCTGATCTGCATCAAGCCTCTGACTGGGAAGGCTGAATTGATTCTGCTATACGGGTTGCAGCTGCTAAATTCTGAATCGGAGTTCGATATACCTGAGTCGGAGGTGGAAAGAGCTGGCGTCGACTGGAGTCTAGAATCCGTTGCCGCGCGCGCTCGTCGAGTGCCCGCTGAAGGTTCTCCAGTCGAGTGCGCTCGGCCAGGTTGGCCAAGCGCGCGTCCTCCAAGGCGCGAGCCTCAGGGGTTTCTCCAACGATCGGAGTGTGAAGCGCATCCATGTTCCGACGGCGAAGCTCTTCCCTCTGCTGCGAATTGAGGGGCTCGGGGAGGTATTCCTCATGGACATGTGACGGATCGCCTCCGCCGTTGCCTCCCTCGGCACCGAGAAAGCTGGGGGGAACGTGCGGTCCATTGACCATCAGGACCTCCGCCACTGGATCACTGCTGTCGCACTCGGATGCAGTCTCTGCGGAGCCAGTCGACACGTCGAACATGCCGTAGAGAGATTTGTCGGGCTCGATTTCCGCGACTTGGGCGGTGGTCGACTGGCGAGACACCGCGTGCCTCACCCACCGCTGAAGCCTCGACCGACCGGAGCGCTTACGCCGGCGGGAAGCTAGGAGGGAGGATGACACAAAAACCGGCCGATACTGGGTCGACGGTTGCCGCAGAAGGACACCGCGGACGCACGCTCGAAAGTGCGTAGCTCCGCGGACTGGGAGCGCGTCGACGTCGAGCGGAGCCTCCTGCAGCCAGGCAGAGTCGTCGGCGATGAACGTGAGCGCACCGAGATGGATCTCGCGGCCCTCAACCAAAACTCCACCTGAAACCATGATGATGGGAATCGGAAAAATTGCAACTTCTCCAATAAGTCGCTAAGACACCTGCCCCAAGGTGGGCGCCAACTGTCGTGGTTCTAAGTCTGATAGTAGTGTAGGGGGGTACTAAGGAGAGGCAAGATCCTAGCTATGGAGTAGTTGTGCACACAAGAGTTTTACGAGTTCAGGCCCTTCTCGGAAGAAGTAACATCCCTACGTCTCGGTGCCCGGAGGCGGTCGACTGGATTATATGTGTGAGAGTTACAGGGGTGCGAACCCTTCTGCCTGTGGAGGGGGGTGGCTTATATAGAGTGCGTCAGGACCCCAGCCAGCCCACGCAGCAGAGAGTTCAATGTACATAAAGGCCAGAAGTTACTGGTAACGCCTTACATAAAGTGTCATCATGACCATAAAGACTACTTAATAACGGACCGTTTGGATGTAGAGTGACCTTAGGTCTTTCTGGTGGTCAAGTGAGTCTCCATGGTCGACTGTCTTCGAGTCCGTCGAGTGAAATCCTTCCAGGTCGACTGAAAGGTAGTTTCTTCTAGAGATGTCCTTGGGGAGGGTATTTTGGACAGGTCCATGACCCTACCCTAGGTACATGGCTTCATCACGGAGTTCATGAACTGTCGCGGGGTCGCCTATCCCACGGCAGTTCCAACATAATGTCCTCATCAGGCTTGGCGGCCCTCCTCGAGGGAGGCCGCCTCTTCCATAAGCACCACATCTTCCCCTTCCTCTCCTTCCTGTCTCCTCTTCTTGCCAACATGCACCTTCTCAGGAGTGGAAACTGTGTTGATGTTGGAGCCCGACGCTGTTGCACCTTCAATGAGCAACACTGTCCCCGAAACCTTCCCCACCAAATTGGTAAGTTGTTGCCCTCGTATATTTATAGAGTCGTCCGCCGCAACCAACCTCTTACGAGCACCCTTCTCTCCCTCCTCCACTTGAACTACTCTAGGGTCATCCAAATCCATATGCTGAGAACCCATAGTGCCACCTGAAGGTGCTCCCCTTCCTCTACCCCCTGACTGTCCTCTTCCTCCTCTACCCCTATCTCCTCTGCCAGAATCACCTCCTCCCCCATACCAAAACTCCCTCCCCGCCCTCTGCCGCCATACGGTTGAGCCGCCGGCATCTCTGGCTCGCACAGCAACCATTCGCCCCAACCAAAAGAAACTGGGTCATGAACCCCATCTCCCCACTCATCCGCAAGATGACCCATACACCCGCAGGCAAAGCAAAAGTCCGGGAGTTTTTCATAGAAAACACAATACTTCTTGTGTTCCTTCAGAGTTATAGGAACAAACCGAACCAGAGGCTCATTTACATCCACAAACACCCTAGCTCGCAAGGTGCTCGCCGGGTTTATCCTTCCCTCATTTACAATGACCGTGAAAGGGGGCTCGCCCACCTTAGCAGCAACTTTCTCAGCCAGCTCCCTCTTCCTTGTGAGGCCGTCCGGCAGCCCCTTGATTCGAGCCCACACCGGAACCTTGTTGAGCCGATATGCATTAACGTCAGAGAAACCATCGTACTCCTGAATCACAACTGGTGCCCTCCGAAACAACCATGGACCTCCATCCATAATCTTCCTCCAATCTCCTAAATAGTGGCACTGAACAAGAAAAAGATTAGGCCCCTTGACATTGAAAGTGACCCCCTGCGCCGCAGACCACGCATTACGCATCTGTGTTAGAAGTGCCGCATGGCTAAACGGCTTCGTCGTATGCACCCGAAACAGAGCGAGCCAGCGCACATCCTTTACCAGATCCTCCACCTCCGCTGAGAAATCAAGATCCTCCTCCTCTTTCCCATACAGCCTCATGCCAGCGAATTGATCCTCTAAGTCAGCGCAAGCTCCGGGATAGTCGCCGTATTCCTCCTCCGCTCCTTCAGGGTTGTGCTCCCTCGGTTGCTGCCTTTGGTTCTTCCCTTCATCCTCCCTGGTGTTGATACTACTCCCCCTCCCACCCCATCCCTCCGGTACTTCCGATCTGTTCATCCCCGTCTCCCCTAACCCTAACTTCGCCGCCATCTCATCTCCCTTCCCCCCGATCTCCTGTTGAGTAGAATCCGCCATGCACGTAGATGCGCGTGGCGAGGTAGTGGTAGATCCCACAGGCGGCCAGAAAGAACCGGCAATCGTTGAGATTTTACGTGGACTCTAGCGTGAGACGCTAGAGGAGATTTTGGAACCCTAGCGGCGGCGCTAGGGGAATCGGCAGCCTGCCAGTCAGGATATGTCGAGAGATATCAAGCGTATCGGGCCTACCCTCGCGCCGGGCCGTGCAGGATTGAGTTCGGCTTTACGGGCCTTCACGGGTATCGGGGTCAGGACGGCCCAGTTATGTAATTTACCTGGCCGCTGCGGGCCAGTGTCCACCACCACAGCACGGCTCGGTGGAGGATGCTGCGGCGCCGCCTGGGGACGTGGCCATGGCCGGCGGTAAGGCGGGGGCTGTCGCGGCTGGCGCCGCCTGCGCCCGCGGCGGTGGTGCGCGTGGACAGCAACAACGTGGCCCGCCTCGGCGCGCCCAAGCCCGGGCCGAGGCCGCGGCAGCTGCTTTCCCTGCCGCCGTTCCCCGCCGGGGCCGACCCGCTCCCCGGGAGGAAGGTGGCGCCGCGCCACGTGACGGCGGTCAGCTGGGTGAAGCACTGCTTCGCCGACGTGCCGCAGGAGGTCGTGCAGGCGCACTTCAACAAGAGGCAGGTGCGTATTACTACGGGTGCCACGCCTCCGCACTCTATACCGGCCATGTTATCATCTTCGGTCCTATTAATGAAAATATTGCACTATTTTTTTCAGTTAGTGTTAACACATAAGAAGGGGATTGCATCGTTCTCAAATGTGAATGGCTTGTTCAACGTGTAGGCTATTATAGTGGCGAAATGATTTAGCTGCTTTCATGCTTAGGTACCATGATTGATTAATTGTGATGAATTCAGTTAATGATCGCAAGTTTTTCTCCAATGAGCCATTGATTGATTCGCTTTGGTAATATTTTGCTTTAGTTTCTATCATTTCACTACCAGTTTACACCTGCATGTAGGCATTGTTTTCAATCTGACATGAAAAGTGCTGCTATCTGTTATCAGGTTTACACTGAGTGCTCAGATCAGGAGGTTTCAGCAGAGGGCATTTGGTGCCGGAAGCATCATTTGAAGAAGGTATGTAATGAAGAATCCAGGCTGCATTTTCTGGGGTTCTTTTAGTGAAATGTTATTTACTACGTGAGTGAAGTAAATATGCTCAGCAGTTCGTTGCAGATCAAGCATTCTGAAGTGATGGAGCCTGGCATGAGAATTCATCTTCCTGTGTCTGTGGCTGAGGCCGAGATAAAGAAGCGGTATGAGACCATTCCAACTGCCACACTGCATCCCAATAGGGATGAGATTGAGTACCTGAAAAGGCTTGTCATCTACAAGGTAATCTATCATTCTATGCTGTACTCTGATTAGTTTCTTGCATGATTGCTGCCATAACAAATGCTTTTTTGGTGGGCAGTTGTGTAAGCCTCTGACCCTCTGCACAGTAAATTAACTTGTGCATACAGGATTATGATATGTGTAAATCAAGTGTCTATCTACATATTATATTACTTCCACAATACCATAAAAATGCCATTCACAAGTTACTTATTGATATTTCAAAGGTGTCACCTAGGGTTTGGTTATTTAATTTTCCTTATTCAGATTCATCATAGTATGCTGAACTTTCTAAATTATAGGACTCAGCCATACTTGTGCTTAACAAGCCTCCAAAAGTGCCCATGAAGGGGAATTTACCAGTACATAACAGTATGGATGTGCTTGCAGCAGCAGCACTGTCATATGGGAATGAAGAGGGTCCGAAATTGGTTAGATTGTTTCTCTTTATTTTGGGATGCTATGTGTTGTCTTAAGCTCTCTCTGATGATTTTCTTCCTGCGGTTTGTGAGTGCAGGTCCACCGACTGGACAGAGATACTAGTGGTTTGCTGTTGATGGGGAGAACAAGAGAAAGCTTTACCCGGCTGCACTGGCTCTTCACTAGCATCAAATTGGCAAGAACAGCTTCGCAGGTTAACATAAATTCGTGATTTTGGCGACTTGGCAAGTGGGCTTATATCTAAATGATTTTGATTGACACGCCCTTTTGCAATAATAGCCCACTGATGTCTTGTATTATTGATGGATCTTGTAGACATGGAATACCGCCTGTGAATCATACGTGCAGAGGTACTGGGCGTTGGTAATTGGGACCCCTACAGAGAGTGAAGGAGTTATATCTGCTCCTCTCACAAAGGTATTACGTCATGTATCTTACTAAGAAAAGTATTTGGTTATTAAGAAATGGAGAATCCTTTAATGTTTTATGTTACTTAAAACATTGCATCATTTAAAAGATATAGTCATCTTTGCATCTCCAATAGGTGCCCTAAAATAGGGCATAACCGCTTCTTAGGGCACGAAGGGCAAAAACGCTGTCCCAACAGGTGCCTTATATGCAAAAAAAAATACTCCCAAGGATTGAGCAGCTGCAAAATACAGCACCAAGTGTTGCAAATATGCTACACTTCAGCTGCTGTTGCAAATTTTTTAGGGCAGCAGGGACCACGCAAGACCACAAGAAAACAGCTGTTTTACATCACTTGTTCCAACAGGTGCCCTAAAATAGGACACCTGCAAGAAGACAACCGTGATGTATTTTAGGAACCAATTTTAGGGCTATTTTTTTAGATGAACATTTTTCGGTTATAATCCAGTTTTTGGCATTGTAAATTTTACTCCAAGCACACTTTGGTGCCCTAAAATAGGGCACCTATTGGAGATGCTCTTACCACTCTTATCAACCACCACAGTTGGTGCATCCCTGGCTCCTTTCCATGGATTGAACCAAGATGATTCATAGATATGGTCATACTCATATGTAGTAACGATCCATATGTTTAATGGCAAGATTTGTCACATGTCCTAGTTTCTCTCTCACTGAACTAGGTACTTCTTGATGATGGAAAAGCTGAGAGGGTCATTCTGGCGCATCCCTCTGGCATAGATGGTGCACAGGAGGCTGTTACTGAGTATCGAGTGATGGGACCAACCATCAATGGCTGTTCCTGGATTGAGTTGCGCCCATTGACAGGCCGGAAGCATCAGGTAGTCTCACGGTACCTAATTAACTCTTACTGGTGAAACACATTTCTGTAAAATATATGAAGATATTAACATCTTGTATTATGGATACGCCGTACATCCTGTTGCATCATCTTTCGATTTACCCCTTCAACACCTGAATTTTGTTCTGTAATACGGTGAATATATTCACATATCCTTACATATATAATTGAAAATTTTCAACTGAAATCACCAACCTAAACTATGCTGACCCTGCTGCAGCTCAGAGTGCACTGTGCGGAAGCCTTAGGCACTCCCATTGTTGGAGATTACAAATATGGGTGGTTCGTGCACCAAAGGTGGAAGCAGAATCCCCAACCGGATTTTGAGCCGTTTACTGGGGAACCATACAAGCTGAGGCGGCCTGAAGGCTTGGAGGTTCAGAAGGGCAGTGTTCTCTCTAAAGTCCCTTTGCTGCACCTGCATTGCCGGGAGATGGTGGTCCCGAACATCTCAAAGTTCCTGAGTAACACCGGAGAGTGGCATGATAATGGCACCCCATGGTCCAAGGAGAAGCCGAATCTCCTAAGGTTCATCGCGCCGTTGCCCGCGCACATGAAAATTAGCTGGAATATAATGTCTTCCTACCTGGTGTGATGGTTTATCTTAGTTTGAATGATTTTTTATGTCACTCCTCTTAAGTTGCATTTCATGATGTGACCCCTTCAAGATCACTGACATGCAGGGCCCATGCCCACATTTCAGTGACACATGGAGTGGCATATTCTGAAACTCAGAATGAGGGGAGTTACATATAATATTGTTATTTATGTTTTCTTTGGGATTGTCAGGTTGTAGATTTGTAGCAGCTGGCATTTCAGAATCAGCGAACAATTGATGCCACCATTGTAATTTTTTAGGGAGATTATAAATCAAATTTGACACAATCATCTTACAAACACTCTTCCATAGTTCCATTACATCTATGATTTTGTTTCTAAGCATAACATCATCACTGTACATCGTAGCATCTTTACAAAGACTCGATCGGGCGGTCCAGAGAGGGGGGCATGTTCCCATTATTGTTAATTGGTGACATGCTCACAGTATGTCACTGGATCTCGATCCATGTACTACTACCTTGTTGCACTAGTGTAATAGTGCTGCACTGATGAAGATCAGTAGTTCCAAAAGATTTGGTTTCTCCTGTGCTGCTTCCTCAGGTAGACGCCGAGCAAGTCGTAGTACGTCCATCGCCGCTGCCCGCCGGCCGCCTCTAGCAGCGCCTCGGAGGTGGCGTGGAAGCCGCCCTTGCCGAAGGCCTCGAACACGACGCCGTCCGTGGCCACGACGGGCTCGGCGGCGCCGTCCAGCCGGCGGAACGCGACGGAGATGTTGCGCGCGAGCCGGCGCTCCATGTAGGCGTCCACGAAGCAGCCGTGCGTGACAAGGTCCGGCGCGACGCCGTCGCGGCGCATGTGCTCGGCGGTGAAATGGAGGTCCCAGAACATGCACATCTTGGAGAAGGCGGCGGCGCGGATGTTGAAGGTGGTGAGGTCCGGCCGGTACCCGGCGGCGCTCATCTCCAGGAAGGCGCGCTGCAGCGACTTCATCTTGAAGTTGGCCGCGAAGGAGAGGAGGTAGAGGTTCCAGAGCAGGTTGCCGGCGTCCCGGCGGCCGAGGCCGACGCCCCTGACAAACTCGCCGAGCTTGTAGTACTTCCGGTGGGCGATGTACGCTGAAGCGACGGCGCGGATGGCGTCGACGGAGATGAGGAGGCCGGACTTCTTGAGCCGGCCGACCGCCGCCTCCATCTCCGGGACGGTGCCGGAGGCCGCGTAGTGCCGCACGAAGGCGTTGCCGGTGGCGGAGTCGACGCGGGACATCTCCTGCACAGCGTCCTCCATGAGGGCGAGCTCGCCGGCGGCGCCGAGGCAGGAGACGGCGAGCGGGTAGAGGTCCCGCGCCGCGGCGGGGTCGCGCGCGGAGAGCTCCCGCGCGGCGAGGAGGACCTCGTCGTAGCGGCCGACGCGCGCGTACGGCGGGAGGAGGCGGGGCGCCGCGGCAGTCAGGCACGGCGCGGCGGAGCTGAGCAGGAGCTGCGCCCAGATGGACTGAGCCCGCGCGAAGTCGCCGGCCTCCGCGCGGGCGACCATGAGAGCCGCCGCGGCGTCGGCATCCGGCGGGGCGGTTCTTGGACGGAGCACGGCACGCCTCGACGCCGGCGTGCACGCCCGGGCGAGGTCAGTTTGGGAGAGACGGAGCTCACCGCGCGAAGAAGAGGGAGGAGGGAGGCGGACGTGATGAGACGAGGAGGAAGGGACGGCGAGCGGCGCGTGGCGGTGCTCCGGGGGTCGGCGACGAGCGGCCGGGAGAGGACGAACGGTGGAAGGCAGCGAGCGTGGAGGGAAGAGGGAACCCATATCACCTCATCCTTCCATGGAGCCATCGTAAGAAAAAGAGCAATGCCATCGTACGAAAAAATGTGGCTCAATATTTGATCCAAGAGTAATTTTCACAAGAAAAGCTCAAATCCTATTTGTAGCTTAACGCGAATTTCACAGAAATTTCACAACAGGCAGTTCAAATATTAAAGAATCAAGGAAAATCTTCCGTTCCAAACAGGACTCATTGTAATGCTTTGGTAGGTGATGATGAACCCTCTGAAACTGCAATCCTTCAGCCACATTTCATTTCACAGGTGGCTCTGTAGCACTACTAGAGACTAAGTTGTGATGACAAACTGGCAATATTGCCCAGGCATGTCCTCAGCTGCCATTTGTGCTCAGCAGCTGATAATAAACTTAGTCATGGCATTGGCACCTGAGATAATACAGCCGACGGTTCCAGACGATACACAGCCGATGTGTCTCATCAGGCCGTTTGTAAATTTGATACTAGGCAATCTGACGGTGTAGAGCTTGTGTCGGCTGCACATCGGGCATTGCATGTCGTGTGCACATCAATTTCGGATTGCAAACGGCATGGGTTTGTAGAACATCCAACCAAACCACAGATGATTAAAAAAAGAACAGCTTTCTCCCCCAGACCCGACGACAGGCCTCAGGGGATCGGTCAAACAGGAGAGCATTACATTAATCAACCGCAGATTCACATTAAAATACACCCGGTACTCTGTTAAGGAGGGCTACCCAACGAAATCAGACCAGAAAAATGGTCAATAGTACAGCAATGAGAAGAAAAATAAAAACACAATCCCGCGACAAGCACATGAAAAGCTCTCACGACAATAGTACATGAAAATAGAAAAATACGAGAACCGGAGAGGAAGGTCAGGTCAGGCTTGCGGCCAACAAGCTGAGCGCTACAAATGCCTTCCTCCTTTTAACCCTATATACTAGTTGTAGTACATGAGCTGCTGCGCCGACGTCTGGTTCGGGTAGCCGTCGTACAGGGCCTGGGAGCCAGCAGCGAGTAGCCCCGCGGATACCTGGCCCGCGAGGCCGTGCTGGCCGGCAATCTGCCCTGCCGCGGCCTGGCTCAATGCAAGCTGCCTCTGATAGGCTAGAAGTTCGGCTGCTGTGAAGCCTTGCGGCACGCCAGCCATTGCTACGGGTTGATAAGAAGCAATCGGGGGCGGCAGCGGCTTAGAAGATGTCCCAGGGGGGGTTGGTTTGTTGCCCCATGAGCACTACAAGATAACACGGAAACAGATGATGAAATTGCATGAACAATTGTGTCAAGAATAAAGAGGGCACAAAGGCAAAACAAATAATTTCTCTGGAGATTACCTTGATTGGCTTGCCGCGAACGACCAATCCGTTGGCCATCTGAATAGCTAATGCTGCTTCACCATGGGTAGTGTACCTTATAAATCCAAACCCTTTTTCCTGTTGAACACGAACTTCCTCAATAGCCCCGACCCCTAAGTTGTAGAAATGGCGGTGAAGCTCATCCCGATTAACCTGACCAGTTAAGCAAAAGGATAAATGAAAGGTCAGCCTATCCTAAAATTTTCAGCTGACAAGAAAAAACCAGAGAAGTAACTTCATAAATGACATGGGAAGGAAACTGCGCTAGCAGAAACTTGTTTTTACTGGTTTACCTCGTGTCCAAGGTTGCCAACGTACACCGTTGTGAAATCAGGGTTGTTCTCTGGATTTTCTTTGCTTCCTGTATCCTGGTTTGCCTCCATTGCTGCAGAAGAAAGATGGACAAAGGCAAAATCAGCAGCCATTTTACTGGCTAAAATCATTATTATTCAAAACATGGCCACGTAATTCCTTTCATAACATTCGTTGAGCTTAACAAGATGTAAAAACAAATCTACCATTAAAGTAAAAACACTCGTCATTATAGACACCTGACCTGCATTACTGGAACCACCATTTGTTAGTACAACTGCGTTATGATTGTCCGTTTCTTGTTTCTCTTCTGCGTTGGTCTTTGTTGCCCAGTTGCACCTTATTTGTCTACTGCCAAGCCATTTACCTGTTGCAAACATTAGTAGAAAATATCAAAATATCAGTAGAAAATAGAAAGAAAAATGTAATCAGCTGTAAGCTCCAGCACTGGCATACCAGTCATTTCAGTTATAGCAGTTTCAGCTTCCTGCGCCAAGAAACAACATAGTATTGGGTGACACACTGATAATAGAGGTAAAACACTAGGGTCTAACTTGAAATTGTAAATGTAGGACTGATCAAAATACCAGTCTCCATTTCTCAAAGAAGTTAGTTATGCTCTAGTGAGTTCAGTTTTTTTTTTTTTGACATGCTAGTGGGTTTAGTTGCTACTAAAGGAAGCTTCATCTAGTCATCAAACATCATGTCCATGTTAGACTAAATGCAAAATTGACACTACAGTTTAAATTTTGACTGGGTGATGCAAGGAGACAGGCAAATTTCAAATTTTCAACACCAGAGAAATAATTTGATTAATAGGAAAAAAATGTAACATATAAAAACCGTTTGCTAAACATGAGAACTAAACAAAAAATATAGTACTTTGGCTTTGCAAAATCCATCAGTATCAAATAGCTCAAACACCAGACTATTAGGTAGATATTAAGGTGGGTATTAGACTCACGATCAAAATGGTAAGACTACTGGAAAATGCAAAAGGAGAAATGGTCTTAGTTGTTCATACCTGCTGATTACGGAAGGAGACAAAGCCATAACCTCTGGAGCGTCCAGTTTTATTATCCCACATGACTCGAGCATCACTGATCATAAATGGCAGACATGAACAACTGAAAAGCTGCAGCGAAAGAGTAGTAGAAATAATGGGGAACTAAAAACTTACGAGCAAGAAGGATATGTTGAGAAACAGGCATAAAGAGTTGCATCATTCACTTCAGAACTTAAATCACCAACAAAAATATGGAAATGCCCTGGAATAATTCAAAGGGCACGGTAACCAAACGAGGGTTAATTAGAAAAGGAAAACAAGACACAAGAAGGTTTAAAGTATCTCACCAGATGTATCCTCCCTTTGTGTACTCGCATACGCCCAGTTCACCTTGATTGCTTGACCGTATCTGGCGAAATAATTCAATATGAAAAGCATTAGAAGTTGATCCGGGACTCCAGAATCTTTGTTGCTGAAATTACTTAAATATCAGAACTTACATGTGACGCCCATGAAGGGTCATTATTGCAAGAGCTGCTGACCTCCGATCATAGTAGTCAACAAACCCAAAGGAAGACTGCAGAGAATAAAAGATAATCCTTGTCAAACAGATGAAAAATGACTGACGGCAGTAGGCTTTTTGCCGATTTAGCAACATGTTCAGTAGCATACCAAAAGTAAAATACAAAGGCATTGTGTCTTGATGCAATCACAGAAAAGTAATTATATGTACAAGCCTAGGAAAATTTCCCTACACACACTACAAGGTTAAATTGTACTCCCTCCGATCCGGATTAATTGACGCAGCCTCTATAAAACATTGTATAGAGGTTGTGTCAATTAATTCGAGTTGGAGTGATGAATAAGCATGTTCACAGCAAGTAGGGTACAGGGCAGCAATGGGATAAAACGTTAAAAATGTTGGAATGTCAAGACATCAGCGTTCAGTACAAGAGGTGCATGAACAAAATCCATCAAGGTAATTGTTAGGAGAAATCCCTTTAAAAGCAATAAATTTCCATGTAATTTTGCTAGTATAATTGCACATTAGGGTTGTAGAAGTGCACCTTTTCTTTCCGGATGAGCTTGCATCTTTCCACAGGACCAGAGCCCTGGAAAACTTCAATCAGAAGGCTCTCAGTGACATTAGGGTGTACGTTTCCTACATACCTAGTTGTCACAACATCGTGAATCAAATCAGAGTCAGAAAACAATTGATAAAAAAATCAAGATAGACATCATGCAACCATATTTAATGATGATTTAATAATAACTAAACAATAAAATAAATTAGCAATAAATTCAATGGTAAATTATGCTGATCTAAATTTTACCATGGGTTGTTATGATATTCATTTGAAAATTTCATCTTGGAATTCCACGTTGATTTTAAAATTAAACCACAATTTGCATGACTAAAGGGGGAAAAGGACTATAAGCTAAAAATCATATGGAGGTGAAAACACGAAAGAACACCGAAAGCACTCACACACTGCGACATGTGGATGGATCAAACCCAGGTGGGAGATTGCCATTTGAAACAGGCTCCATCTGCAAAATGTAAAAAATAAAAATAAAAAGAAGATACATGCTGATGCCGAAACTAGTTGAGGAGCAAAGAGAAACAAATAACATATAAAAGATGATAAAATTAAACTCGATGTAATAGGAACAAAATCCCAGTTCTCCAAAGTCGTGTTTTATGCCATTATAATAATGACTCAAATGTTGTGTTACATCCAAGCATCTCTCTCTCACACACACACCCTATGTTTCACCTGTCTGCTAGACCTATGTACTGTGCATATGCAGCATTGATCTCACATCGATGTAACAACCCGTGAGCAACAATCAATGTAATCATGAATAGGCCAATGCAATTGACAAGCTTTATACAGATGGTGACAGCAGTAGCCCTTGCTCTTAAGAGTACAAGAGACACAGAAAGCAATTTTAATTTAAAACATTGTATTCATTGTGTTGCAAAAATCCTGACTCAAAGCAAACAACAATTTTTCAAGGTTCATACCAAGATCGACATGCAATACAGCTATCACACGTGCATACAAATAACCGATGCGAAGCATATCCTGAACAGATAACGAGGCAAGGAGCATATGAAAACAAAAACAAGTCTTGAAAGCTTGTATTGTCCAATTGCATCGCATCTACCCAGCCAATGTGCTTCAAATACCAATAACAATGGAGCAATGGTCCAACCAACCGGAGTACAAGACATGTGCCACCATGCAAATGCAACTCAGATTGAAATAGCAGCTGCTCCATTCCACGGAAGAAACTTCAGCTATCAAGCCAAAAGTCGCTAACGAACAACATACACCTACCCCCAACAACTTCAGAAAAAAGGGGGGGGACGCACCAAGCAAACAACAATCTTCCGCGCTCACAGACAGATCGGCGTGCATTGCTGCGTCCGATTGCACGAGTAAACAAATAGATCAGGAACTGAGGAAATAGAGGGCGACCTGAGTCATGGCCGCGGCGGCGGCGGCAGCGAGGACACCGGACTGATACTGCTGCTGCTGCAGCGCCTGCTGCATCAGGAGGGCCTGCTGCTGTTGCTGCTGCTGCTGCCGGAGCCTCTGCTGCTGCTGCTGTTGCTGCTGGCTCGCGCCGGCGCCATTCATCTCCTCCGACTCCGACCAGATCGAAACACCGGGGGACGGAGGGCCCGCGCGAACCGATCGACGGATCGGCGGATTGGATCCAACGGATCAATAGATTTGGTGGCGAATTTCTCGCGGCGGATCGAGCAGGGGAACGGAGGAAGAGGAGGTGAGATTTTTCCTCGTATTTTCTCTCTCTCGCTCGCTCTCTCTCTCTCCTCTTTTTTCTCCCTCTGTTTTCTCCTCGTCGGACTCCAATGGAGATTAGGGAGGGTGGAGGGGCAGTATGGGGATTTTGCCTATCCAGGGGAAATGACGTGGAGTTTTCTGTGTGGCTCCCCAATCCCATGGCTCAGTGACAGGTGGACCCGATTATCCTGCCTCCAACTGTGCTTGCTAGGATTTGGGTCGGTTTTTCAAATATAAACAGGGATATAATCATATGATAATGGTTGTTGTGCCTGTTTTGCCCAAATATCATGCATAATCTGGTCTCTCTCACATCACATGTTGAACTTCAAAAAAAAAAAACCATGTGTTTAGAACTTGAGATTTGTATATAGAACTACCCTGGTTCCTCTCTAGGTTGATCAAATGTGGTGTTATGGGTCCATTTGTCATGCCTGATTTACAAAGATTTTACTTCCTCCGGTTCAAAAATTAATTGACGCAACCTCTATATTCGACAAGGGTGGAAAAATAATGTGCTTCGTACAATAAATTAGTTGCGGAAGTAATAAGTAATGTGTATTGTAGATATATAGTGAAGTTAATTTGCTCATGAAACCGCTTATGGAGCAATAGTCGAGATTGTGGTGTAGGAAGTTGTTGTTGTTGTTGTTGTTGTTGTTGTTGTTGTTGTTGTTGTTCATCTAGTTCCATATCTAGGCAATCTATATTATTGTTGTATCCCTAAAATTGAAAATAAGATTAAAATTATTAGTCGCCTATTCACCCCCCTCACTCTCTATTCGACCGTACGGATCCTATCACTACTGCTACATATCCATAGTCCAAAGAAAACTACTCATGAGCGATCATGATGGCCTTGAAATTGATGGAAACGGCCACCGTGATGATTTCCCCCTCCGGCAGATTACCGAAAAATGCCTCCAGATTGGATCGTGAAGAAACAGAGGTGTGCGGCAGCAGAAAAAAATCGGCTGGTAAATTCCTAAGGGATTTCAAAAGAATATAAATGCACGTGAACCGAGAGGCGATGGAACGGAGTTCTGTGAGGCCCACGTGGCAGGGAAACACGCCCCTAGGGCTCATAGGGGTGGCACATGGGGCCCCTTGGCCCCCCCCACCCCGTGTTGTCACTACAAAAAAAGACACATCCGTGACATATTTGGGCCCAATGAAAAAAAATATGATCACTAATACAACGAGGTGCTATACAAACGGTTTTTAACCCCTTTCCGCGACGGCATTTGAAACCGTCGCCAAGTGAGTGTGGGCGATAGGGGGGTCATTCCCACACGACCCAGAAACCGTCGGGGATATGCCCTCCTAGCACACATGCTTGGCAAAATAAGGTCGTGTGCGACCGGCGAGCGATCATACGGTTATACGTACAGTAGTGCTAAAAAATACAATTATACAGGCAAAATCATTTTCGATCGTAAGTACATCTCACACAGTCAGTCCCTGCTAAACGTTTCCGTGCGTATATACATCCCACACAGTCGCTCCAAGAAAAATGTTTCTGTTCGCAGGTACGTCACACACAATTTTCCCCGTTAAATCGTTAGGTATTAACAATTTTATCGTTTGCGTTATTAAATGCATCACACACAGTGCGTAGAATAAATTGTGTGGCAAAAGTTGTCCATCACAAACAGTTTTCAAGAGGATGCCGTGTGTGATTGTTCATTAATCCAACACGGTTTATTCTTAAAAACTGTGTGTGTTGCCTGAGGTCATTGCCCACGGTGTTTTCTCGATACCCGTTTGCAATAGAAAAAACCCAATTAGCAGGCTAATTATCCTATTAATAATAACACATTTATTAATCTAATTGACATTTCATATTAAGCACACAATATATTTCATTTTCATAATTGAAATACATCAGAATACAACATCATATAGCTTCAGCACTCAGTTATCTCATTACACAACTGCACCAGCACCAAGTTTCACATGCAACATCTATAACCTTTCGAAATTAGCATCATAAACGGTACATAGACAGATGTATCTCATCTGGAAAACTGCTGAAGCACAAGGCAAATATTGAGCCTTCATTGATGTTAAAGATCTTTGCAAGTTTAGGCCAGTGCTTGTGGATGATTGATCGTCCATCCTTCGTCCTCTTTAGGAACACTTCAATATTGAACCATGGGTGTTGTATGAATACCTTCCTCGCCTCCTGACCATACAGGTGGATTGAGAGGTAATTATCAGTGAACTGCTTTGGAATGGCCTGAAAACAAGGATGTGCATAAATATCTTCTCTATATTGGAAATGGGGCAAAGGAATAAAAAAGGCAAGGTATAATTGTTAGTATCATCCTGTAGTGAACTGATGTCTTCTTCATTGTGCAGACAAAAATCTTATTGTTTTTTGTCGCTAATTTCTTTATCCTAACAATCTTTCTGAGTTTCTTGACTTGACTGATATTCATGGACAACTCATTTTCCCATATGCAAAATGGGTCGAACAGTGGGTCAACACCTCTGACAGGAGGACCTACATGTGCAAGACCACATTGTTAAAAACCTAAATATTAGAATGGTTCCTGCAATTGCACAATAATGTGCTATTAGACAACGGACCATGCACGTGCTAACCTCAATTGTAAACCTTGGTGTTTCCCATTGTTTCCCTGCAACACATATAAGGTAGTTAGTCATCAGGTTAAGTAAGGGCTCGCATGCTATCAGTAAAATATGTTGATAAAAAATAAGCACATTGCAGATTCATCAGATTAATTCAAGCCAAATGGAAAACCCATTTATCCAAATCAAGCATGATCAAGAACTAGGAAATATAGCACTTGTATATGTTTCTCATGTATTAAGTGCAACCAAATTCGATTTATTCCTCACATGCACAACAATACAAAATTCTACCCACGACAATTGGACATCACATTGCAGAATTGAACCAAGAAGTTAACTAAACACCACAGGAAATGAACCAAACATTAACTAAGCACCACATTGCGCAATATAACATACCCCTAATAGAAGATCAAACGGTTAACCAAACCAATCATGCTTAACAACTCGGAAATATAGCAATTGTATTTGTTTCTCATGTTTTTAGTACAACCAAGTTCGATTTATTTCTCACATGGTATACAATAACATAATGCACCCACAACAATTGAATATCGCATTGCAGAATTGAACCAAGCAGTTAACTAAGCACCACAACAAATGAACCAAATGTTAACTAAGCACCACATTGCACAATATAACATAATCCTAATAGAAGATCAAACAATTAACCAAACCAAGCATGCTTAACAACTTGCAAATATAACAATTGTATTTGTTTCTCATGTGTTTAGTACAGTCAAATTCAATTTATTTCTCACATGGTATACAATAACAGAATGCACCCACAACAATTGAACATCGCATTGCAGAATTGAACTAAACAGTTAACTAATCACGACAACACATGAACCAAACGTTAACTCGACACCACATTGCACAATGTATAACATACTAGAAGATCAGACAGTTAAACAAACCAAGCATGCTTGGCTATTTGGAAATATAGCAATTGTATTTGTTTCTCATGTATTTTGTAAAGAAAAATTCAATTTATTTCTCACATGGAAGACAATACAAAATTGCACCCTGAAGAATTGAACATCACATTTGCAGAATTGAACCAAACAGTTAACTGAACACGACAACTAATTAACCAACAGTTAATAAGTGAGCACCACATTGCACGGCATATAGAACATATACACTAGAGCAACAGATTGCATGGTAAAAGTAGATAGCACAATTCACTAGAATTTGTTAAGTAGAGGCAGTAGCTAGCAAACTGAACATGGGTCCTTATAGTGAGCTAATAAGACAAGCTACTCCTCATTGTTGGAGATATCGATGATGATTGGCTCCTTGGACATGGAAGAGGGTGAGGCCTCCGCATCGTGGGTGCCCTCGTCGTAGTGGTGAGTTGCCTGAGCCGCTCCGGGCACCAACCTGCTGGCTCTCAAGATGAGGTAAGCACGTGCATGCTGAGAAAACACCTCATAGCCTTCATCGAAGGCACCGAGGGTGGCCTCAAGAAAATGCCACGAACTATTGTTTAAAGCAGCCAACCGCGTTGCGGCGTCAGCGCGCGAGGCGTCGACGGTGGCCTCGACGACGAGGTGTTCCTCCAAGATATGGGGGTCGGCACGAATGGAACCCAACGTGACCTCATCTACACGTGCGGCCGTAATTTGCTTCTCCATTGCCAAATGCTCCTTGAGATCCTGGCTATACTACGTGCACCATGGCTTAGGGCGGTGCTTATTTGGTGGAGGGGTCGGTGATTTGGTGGAAGGTGTCGCTGAGGGAGTCCTGCACTCGGGGGTCCTCAGGTGTCCGGCTTATTTGATAAGGGCCGGACTGATGGGCCGTGAAGATAAAATAGAAGACTATCCCCCGTGTCCGGGTAGGACTCCTATATGCGTGGACGACAAGTTTAAGTGTCCGGACGTACAATTTCCTTCCCTTGTAAACCGACTATGTACAACCCTAGGTCCCTCCGGTGTATATATAAACCAGAGGGTTTAATCCATGGAGGTCATCAGAACAATTATAGGCTAGATAGCTAGGGTTTAGCCATTACGATCGTAGATCAACTCTTGTAACCCCTATACTCATCGAATACAATCAAGCAGGACAAAGGGTTTTACCTCCTTTAAGAGGGCCCGAACCTGGGTAAACATCGTGTCCCCATTGTCCCTTGTTACCATTGATCCTAGACTCACATCTTGGGCCCCTCCTACCCGAGATCTGTCGGTTTTGACACCGACATTGGTGCTTTCATTAAGAGCTCCACT